ATCGTTGGACCACTCCGAAACTTTGTTAGCTTCAGACTCGGAAGAGGTCAGATGGTAGTGCATGTTTGAGTATTCAACACAAAGCTTCAGATTTGCAGACGTTGGATATATATCCTCATTCCTCTTCAGCAGATGAGAGCACAGAATAAATTGTGGAAAACTATGATTTTACAAACAGGAAAAAGAAGATTGAAATGTGTATAGTGAAGCAAACAACAGGAAAGGATCAGATTACAAGGCAAATCAATCACTCTGCAGATGCAGATCAGACTGGGTGTCACGAAATGCCAAAATCATCATATCCATAGCAGTAGATTCGAATTCAAACAGATAATTGAAATCGTAGAATCAGAGAATACTGTCAATCACCATATTGCAATCATACATGAAAGCAAATAAGACTGGGGCGACATACACTTCTCATCATCTTCATCGAGCGATATCAATACAAATCGAAACACAACAAAAAACAGATTGACGGAGATCACCCGAAGGCTGAGATTTATAAGAGAACCCGAGGAACTGGAATGGAGAGAGGACACGAAAAGGAGTGAAACGGAACTAGGGTTTTGCAGATGCTGCGTGCTTTGTGTTGAAGAACAAGAGAGCTTTGGCATTATATAAAGAGACTATCGAGGGTTTTCTTGTTTAGGGTTTTTCCTTTGCTGACGTGTTGCGACTGTATGAAACGACGACGTTTACAGTCTATGGGCTAAGCCCATTTTAGATTTGGTAAGGCCCATTCGTACAGGCCCATGATGTTATCCGCTCCTTTAACCAACCGACAAATTCTTTAACATATAATTATACACCAAAATTTTAATTTAAAGATAATTGATTGTAATTTTTTTTAAAACAATTATGAAATACTCGACCGACACACATAAAAGGAAAAAATGGAATCAAACCGCTCTCCATTTTTTTTCAAAGGTATATTATTTCACTTGTTAATAATATGATAATATAGAAATTTTGGACGTTTGTGTATATTTATAATTCGTTTTTGTTTTGCCATTTAATCTAGGGTTTTAGAAATTGAGTCTTGGAAGCTTAGTGGCTTCTACTAATTTATGGATAAGGTTGAGGTGTAATTAACAAATGACTAATTAATGTGGTAATAATTGTAGCTTATAAAATTAAATAATGAAGTGTCAATATCGGACCCCAAAATCTATTTAAATGCAGTTAATACTAAACCCTTTAGCCATCAATCATTCTCATCCTCTCTTGTCTTCTGATATTTTTTTTTTCACTCCTTCGTATTCGTCGTATAATAAATCATTAAAAAAGGAGAAAAAGACCAAAAATTTTCCTTCTTGCTTTTTTCTTTAAATTTTCTCGTTTTTTTGTTGGTAAAGATTCTTCTTTTCTCGTGATCGTGGGTATTGGTAACTGCTCATTTGAGGTAAGCTTTACATCCTTGCTTTCCGTTTTTCGCGATTTTGCAGCAAAAAATTTTCTGGGTCTGATGGTTTTTGATCTAATCGAATTGAATTTCTACTTGATTTCCGTTTTTCCTGTCTATTTTAATCGAAATTTCATCTTGGGTCGAAGAGCGAACAGCAAAATTTCATTTTGCGGATGATTATTGGCTGAATCCTGCTTATTTCGATTGTTATGGAGCAAAGCTCTTGTAAAAATCTTACCTTTCGACGACCCTTTTGCATTGGAAGCTGGTTTCTTATTGTGATTGACTTAATTAATCGGTTAGTTTCACGCAACCAAGCAACCCAGTTTTGTGTTTTTGGATCCTTTGAATGGCCCTCTCTTCATATCGCTACCTCATTTATGTTGTCGTTCTTGATTCTAATGTTTGATTTTGTGTAACTTCTACTTTTGGGGGTTATAGATCAATCATTTGACTGTTTTGTTAGTAAACTTTTAAGATTCCTGCAAGAATTTGGAATTTGCTTATCGTCCAGTTGGTTTCTTGAGGCTTTGAGCTTAATCACACAATTAATTTCATGTCAAACAAGCTTTGGGTTCTGAGGAAGTTTATCCATTCATCTTTCTTTTTATCATGAGTAGTCGGATTTGTATCTGGTTTGGGCATCATCCCTCATCGATCAAGCTTTCTGTAGTGTCGGTTAAATATTTCTTTGAAGTAATTCGCTTTTGCAAAGTGGTGGTTCTTTCTTTTCACCCTTTGTTTCAGTCTTTTTGGTTTTTCATGTTTTGTTTTTCAATTAACACATTCATGTTCTGCAGTTTGTCCTTGCTCTGAGACTTCAGATGTTCTGTCCATTCTTGTATTTGTAGCTGCCATTTCAGCGTAATCTTGATTATGCTGATACAAAAAATCGAACTTCTCCTTGATCAAAGTATTTATGATGTGCAGTTTCTCTGTAATGCTATGGATCCAATGTCTTGTATCTCTGTATATATTGGTCTTTTGGCAAAGTAATGTGGTTGAATATCGTGTATTAGGTATTACATTGCACATTTCGAAGAAATTATTTGCTGATGGATATACCAAAAGAAGGTGAAGCTCGTGCTTGGGGGATTCTTTCTGGATCTAGCCACCATCATCACATCTCCAGTGATGCTAGTCTGTTCTCTAGCTCATTACCTGTTCTTCCCCATGAAAAATGTACTCACAGATACCCTTGTCATTGATAGATGCAATCCACCATTCTCTTTAGGCTGCATTCTTACCCGCTTTTACTTATCTGTAGTGCAATTGAATGAGATCGGAGATGGGTTCCCACTGGTGGATGATACTGCTGTTGGGTCTAACAAGTTTCATGGAAGTGCCGATGATCCATTGGCTGATGTTGGATCTCATGCCATTGGCAACCTGCTTCCCGATGACGAAGAGGACCTTTTGGCAGGGATAATGGATGATTTAGACCTGATCGAACTGCCCAATACATTGGAGGATGTTGATGATTCTGATCTTTTTGGTAGTGGGGGAGGAATGGAATTGGAAGCTGATGCACTAGACTACTTGAACATGGGTATGCCTAAAATATCGATATCAAGGAGTCTCGGTGGAAATGGGATTCCACATTACGGTATTCAAAACGGTGTTGGAACAGTTGCTGGTGAGCATCCATATGGTGAGCATCCCTCGAGAACATTGTTCGTCCGGAATATTAACAGCAATGTCGAGGACTCCGAGCTCGTAGCTCTCTTTGAGGTACTTAAAAAGAAGAGATTGGACAGTCCTTGTGTATTGAAATTGTCATTCTGAGTGTTAATATTATGAACTGATTGTTTCTGTTTTTTGTCATTTGGGCCAGCAATATGGGGACATAAGGACAATGTATACTGCTTGTAAGCATAGGGGCTTTGTCATGATATCTTATTATGATATCCGTGCTGCTCGAACAGCTATTCGGGCGTTACAAAACAAGCCACTCCGAAGGAGGAAACTCGATATTCACTTCTCAATTCCCAAGGTTTGAGAAATTTCTATGCATTGTCAACTTTTCCGGGTGCAACTGGTTACCTAACTATTATACTTGCGCTGTCTCGCCTTTAGGATAATCCATCAGAGAAAGATCTGAATCAGGGGACATTGGTAGTTTTTAACCTGGATCCTTCAGTTTCAAACGATGACCTTCATCGAATTTTTGGTGCTCATGGCGAGATCAAAGAGGTGATAGATATGTTGTTTTTATTCGTTTTTTTTCCTTAACATAATATGTCTTTTATATTCCATTGAGGTGGGAAAAAAATACCGTGTTAACTACAGCTAGTTTCCTCTTGAAAATCGCAGATAAGGGAAACACCGCATAAAAGGCACCACAAATTCATAGAGTTTTATGATGTAAGAGCTGCTGAAGCAGCACTCAAGGCATTGAATAGGTGTGAGATTGCAGGGAAACGTATAAAAGTCGAACCCAGTCGTCCTGGAGGAGCTCGCCGAAAGTTTGTACCTTTCTTGATCAGTCATATTCAGTAAATTAATGTTTTGTTAACCTTTTTACTGGCTTAACCTTTTTTTCTTTCTTTTAGAATGTGAAATTTTGTGTCTGACACTCTTTTCAATCTTCTAGCTTGATGTTGCAACTTAACCAAGAACTCGAACATGATGATTTGCACAGTTACCGACATCTGGTTGGCTCACCGATGGCCAATTCTCCTCCAGGTGGGCTGGTTGAAAATATATTGCGCTGTGAGTCACATTGTAGTTTTGTTCTTCATGAGAATCTAAAGAATATAAGCTCTTGTCTCAGGCAACTGGTTGCAACTGAACAGTCCTGTTGAGTGTAGTCCTCTCCAAAACGGGGTTAGTAAGTCACCGGTTTTTGGAACCGGAAGCCCTACGAGGAGCAGCCACTTGTCTGGTTTGGCTTCTGTTCTAAATCCTCAAGGACCGAGCTTGAAGCTTGCACCTATTGGCCGGGAGCAAGGAAAGTTTGGTCATATCGGTAGCAACGTGTTTCAAGAGCCAAAGTCGGATCATTACATTGGAAATATCTCTTCTGTTGGTTCTTCGACGGGAAATGGAGGTGGTATCGAGACATTGTCTGGATCAGAGTTTTTGTGGGGAAGCCCTAACTCACGGTCAGAACTTTCAAGCTCCTCACTTTGGTCAAAATCATCTATCGGTCATCCATTTTCCTCGGAAAGTAAAGGTCATGGATTTACGTATGCATCTCGATTAGAACGGTCTGTTGGATCCCCGCATCAACATCACAACCATCATCTCCATGTTGGGTCTGCACCATCTGGTGTTCCTCTAGAAAAGCATTTTGGATTCTTTCCGGAATCTTCAAGAGATACTTTGTTCATGAACACCGTTGGGTTTCAAGGAACGGGAAGCATGGGTCTCAATGGTGGAAGTTTCCCGTCAAAGCTTGCAAATAACGGGATTATTAACCCGAGAAGCATGGCCGAAAATGGGTTTTCAAGTTTCAGAATGATGTCATTGCCTAGACTTGGTCCTGTCCTCTTAAACAATGGTCTTCACCCTGGAAGGTTCCCCTCGGGATTTGAGGGGTTCTCTGAAAACGGAAGGCCCAGAAGAACTGAGAGTAATGCGGGCCAGGTAGAAAACAGGAAGCAGTTTCAACTTGATTTGGAAAAAATTATTAGTGGAGAGGATAGTCGGACTACCTTGATGATAAAAAACATCCCGAATAAGTAAGCTTTTGTAATTATTTTTCATGAAATATCGTTTACACTTTACAGATTGATACAGCCATATCCCTTAACAAAAATTTTCCCTGCCATTTTCAACAGATACACCTCCAAGATGTTGCTAGCGGCTATTGACGAAAAGAACAAAGGAACGTACGACTTTCTTTACTTGCCGATAGATTTTAAGGTATGGTGGTTTTTTACTCATAGGAGACTCCGAGCTAGGGTTTCCTGATCGAGATGTCGGTTCTGAATCCATTTTTTTGTTTGCAGAACAAATGCAACGTGGGCTATGCCTTCATTAACATGCTCTCTCCAAATCTCATCATTCCATTCTATGAGGTCTTCTCCTCTGGATTTTTCTCATGCTGGCTTCTGGAAGTATTTTGATTGAACAAATGCATTCTGTCGTATTTGTTCTTCCTGTTCATGTCTGGAGAGTGAAGTCATGTTTTTTAAACTCATTTTTGCAGGCTTTTAATGGGAAGAAGTGGGAAAAGTTTAACAGCGAGAAAGTAGCCTCTTTGGCATATGCTCGGATACAGGGGAAAACCGCCCTGATAGCACATTTTCAGAACTCAAGCTTGATGAATGAAGACACTCGCTGCCGTCCTATTGTCTTTGATTTCCCTAACAGTTCGGAATCTAGTGAACAGGTAATACCGTTAATGAACATATAAACCCGCCCTGTTTCTAAATCTTTTTCCGGGTACTTTTGTTTATCCTTAAATACTCGAGATAAGCAGTCCAAAATAACCAACCAAACTTCTGAACTTTATGATGAGGAACTTCATCTGAACTTCATGACAATTCATACGGTTTGATCATTTGCTGCAAAATTCGATGATCATTTACCAATTTCCCACATTAAGAAGTCGGCTGTTTTCCTTTCTACGCATCATCCAGGGAAACCTGCAATCTCGGAGCGGAGATGATGACGTGGGAGATGAGAACTAACGCCCGAGAAGAACGCTGTTGTTGTTGTTGTTATTGCTGTTGGTGCGTCCCATCTTTACCCAGCTAATTTAACCGTACATATTCAAGTGTTCAAGTTTAAGCCGAGGGGCAAAAGTCACCGGCCGAGGCGCCACAAGTGTTTTCCAGATTTGCAGGCTTGATGTTGCAGCTGAAACATTCTCAGTGTTCTCTCTGTTTATTTTTTGGTCCAATCGTACATATGTAGCCATTTTCAGAAATACCCTGTTTTATGTGGGTATGAGTAATCACTGCTCAGACTATGTTGTGACTTTGTGCAAAAGGGTTTTGCAATTTGTACAGTGAGACGAAGTCTCGAGACTTTTTACCGTACTTTCTGTGCAAAGGCTGCTCCTTTTTGTTATTATGATACTGTGAAATTCTCTCTCTTTCTGTGCAAAAGGTTGCTCCTTTTTGTTATGATGCTATGAAATTTCCATTCATCATGATATGTTGTAAAATTGCAGGGACAGGCCCTAAGGCTGGAACTACAAAATGGAAACAGAAGAATCGGAGGAAATTGATTCGTTTTCTGCAATTGTTTCTTTCTCCTCAAGCTATTATCACCTGAATCTCACCGGATGCGGCGACCAGACAGTGTATCCACCGACAACCTCCTCTTCCGAATCTCAACTCCCAAATCGTGTTCCGATACCGACTGGTCTCTTCTTCCATTTTTTCCCTTCCCCCTCTGTTTCATCAGCTCTGCCGAGAATTTGCTCTTTGATTCGCCACAGTGAGAATGAATTTCCATGGATCGCCATTGATAACCACATATTACCAGAAGAAATCTTGGAGCTTCCTCAACAACCTGTCTCAGTTCTCGCCGTCGTAAAATTGCAACCAGAGACTCAGCAAGCATCTGTGAAGTCTCGGCTCCAAGATCATCCATTCTCTCCTTTGCTTGTCCCAACATCTTGTCGATGCGGTGTCCTCTAACCAAAGAACTCACAGTGAAGAAGTCTTCTATCGGAAATCATGAATCAGAACAGTGCAAGTACCCTCTGGAAAAGGACGAGCACAGGAGGAAGAGTTAAACCTTAAAAACCCTAGTAAGTTACATAAGAAGAAAGAATTCTCTGTTCCCTAGTGGTGCCATGTGTGTGAAGAAGGGTAGGGTTTGTTTCTTGGGTCGCAAGTAATCGTGGTGTAGTCGTGATGATTGTTTATACATTCCTTGCATAGTATGTGATAGGTTTATGGGAAGAAATAAGCACGTGTTTAATTAGTTCTGTCCGTCACATAATTGCATACTCTAATGACGTCAATGCGGGTCGTTTAGTGGAGCTGACGTGGAGATCCTACGTGGCAGATTTCATGTTGTATCGTTTCAAAACGCTGACCAAACCCTACGATAGTGCTTGGACGAAATCTCGACCGTCCACGTGGCGATAATTACTATATCCACCTGAATTCTTCACCACGGCTCAGCAGCGGCGAAGTAGACGAAGGTTGCGAGTCTCTGTATCTCATCGTCGCGTGTGCTCTCTCTCTCTCTTCGCGTCCCGAATCACAACGACAAGCTGTTTCTCTCTCCAGATCCCGCGTTGTTCGCTGGATGTTTCCGTTCTCCGTCGTGATTCGAGCTCTTTCTTGCTTCAATCCGTTAAGGTGGGAGAAAACAGAGTGCACGATTGCGAATGCTAGTGATTTGGATTGTTTTATCGAGTGATTTGTCTTTATTACTCTTTTGATTTCATCAGTGTGTCGATCGATCGTCTGAAAATGGCGACGGAGAGGGTGGAGAAGCGGGGAAGGAGGGGATCGAGTGTCGTCTACTGCGCTGCGCATATGAGTGTTCATAATCTGGAGTGGATCTCGACCATCTCTTCTTTGTACTATCTCTTTTCCTTCTCCGATCGTTGATTTAACGCATAATGCAAATGCGAATATGAAATGATGAGCAACGGCTTTAGTTCTGTGTTTGTCAAATGTATATGTTATGTGGAATTGGTTTTATTAGCTTTCATCTTTTCATGCCGAATAAAGAGTTAAATTTGATCGTTGACATGTTTTTTTTAGTTGGGCAAGAAGTAGAAGACGATATGTAATGCTGTGTGGCTATCGATTTGCATACTCTTCTTGTAAACTCATGATATCAGAACCGGGAAATTTTATGTTACCAACAGCAAACTGTGGGCAGGATTCACGCTTGTATTTACAATGTCTTGAAATTGCAAAACTTAATGCCTGTTAGTACTTAGTATCCATTTGTATCTCGGTTGTGTCTGTCTTGTTGTAGTTGAACATAAATTGCCATTTTTCATATTGCTCTCGGTGATTGTGGCGCCTGACCAATTAGAAGGTGTCTGCAAATCCCTATAATATTGTGTACGAAACAACAAGAAACACTATCCTTATATATTTTCTTGTAAATCACAACTCAAGTCGGCATGCTCTCATTCTACAGTCTCTAAGGAAAGAGTTGGTAATTTTCACTATCCTTTTGAAGCATATTGATCTTTAGCCTTGGACGATTGCATATGGAACTGGTTCGGGAGTGAGACCATCCAGCTTGAAGTTCGTGGAAAGGGAAATTGCAAATGCAGAGCTAACTGATAATGTGTTTCTTATTCAAAGTATCTGGGAAAAGAAAGAAGCTCATCCCTTGAGCTGCGTAGATCGCGACAGGTGATATAGCTACTTGAAAGTTGAAAGTATTTTCGTTTGCTTTCTTGTATATCTTTCCTATGAGTTATTGCAGGATGAACTATGTCTAATATTATTCTCGTATTCATCAAGCATTCCCTTAAGAACTTGATTCTCTAAACTGTGGAAAGATGCACTATGCTTAATATGTCTACAAGAATGCAATATATCTAAGTCCTTTGTTTTTGCTACATCTTATGGTAAACTAATACGCTTCCAAGATGAATAATAGCAAGATAATAGATGACGAGTGACTAAGGTCTTGAAATAAATCTTCTTGTTGATTCCGACTGCTTGCTTTGAAGTTCATCTATTGTGGCAGTCAAGTGGAAGAAGCCCCTCATCATTCGTAGGGAATGAACGGGTCCCTTAAATTCTTGTTCGCTTAAAGATATTTTTCCCCAAGTAGTGGCATGAGGATTCCAGCTGCTACAAGTAGTGGGAGTAAGCTTCCTGATGCAAGGTTTGCTGAACTTGGAAGTCCTGTTGGCTCTGCCACGCCATACACTGGTCCAGTACCAGGGAAGCCTGTTGTTGGTGTTGTTGGTGTTGTTGTCGAGGTTGTGGTAGGTCCAGTACCAGGGAAGCCTGTTGTTGGTGTTGTTGGTGTTGTTGTCGAGGTTGTGGTAGGGACCGTATTAGTTGGTGAAGTATAAGCGGGTGGGCTCAGTGGATTTGGTGGACTTGTGCTGCATTTTTGTAGGAAAACAATCACTATTATTTTCTTCTTTTTTGCAGGTTAAGCACGATTTAGTGGAAAACAAACAATACCTGGTTGCTCCAGATGATGCTGGGAAGTGGCAGTTCCCTTTACCTGGGGCAATGAGAAAGGAAATAGAATATCAAACTTGAGATCCATCGTTGATATTGTGTAACCAAAGGTGAAAACTCTAGTCCGTATTTAACTCTTTTGAAGGATTTGGATCATATGATGCGGTATTGCTCCTAAATTCATTATCCATTGGCATGTAACTGATCAGTTGTGCGAGACTCAGTAACCCTCCATTGGAGGCGGCGATCTAAATTATATCACATTCTCTGAAGCAAACTGTGGATGGCTTAATGCCACGAAGCGAGTTCAGGTAACGCGAATCTACTTTTCTTGCTTCGATGATAATCTTCCATGGGTTCTACACAGAAGTTGATATCTTACTTGGGTCGGTGCTGGTAAGTTGTGCGGTTCCTCCAAAAACACAGCTCTCGGAGCCTGGATGCTTCTGGTAATAATCGTTGAAAGCATAGGAAGCATGATCATGGACAGTGTTTGGCTCGGAACAGCTCGCACCTTGTTGGATCAGCCCACAGTCAGCTCCTCCGTACCCGCAGGCATAATCCAAAGCCACCTGTAACGCTTTAGGTGAGGCACTTGGACTGGCAATACACCACTGACCACCGCCGCCGCCGCCGCCGCCTCCAGAGCCAAAATTACCACCTCCACCACCACCACCTGGTGAAGTAGGGGTGGTGACTGGCCCTGGTTGTGTTGGTGCGGGTGGTGATGGTTGGGTTATGGTCGGGGTTGTGGTGCTGCCACCGGGGTTTGTTGGATTCACGACCGGTAAATCACCTTGTCCCTGAGCTAATGCATTTGGAGCTGAAAGCAATCACCAGAGAAACCAGGTTAGTTTACTCTGCAATCTACACTAATATATACTTCACTTCATCCTTATATAAAGAAGGTAGTGAACTTTTCCGAAAAAAACCCGGGAAGACTGATCTACGGTTTTACTTGGGTTCGTATGAAAGATAGGAAGATTACCTGAAGTGATTAGAAGATAGAAAAGAAGGGCGGGGAAACATCGAATAAGAGCTAAGTGAGTCATGTTATTGCCCTCGCCCTCAGGTTTTAGTGGGAGAAACCAGAAATATAAGGGAAGTAGAAGTTCCTTCTCATGCATTGAGAGAGTATATATATAAGAGAAAAAAAATCGTGAGGTAAAGAATAAGAGATTTCTTTGGAGGGGAGAGAGAAGCCATGACTAGTAGGAGATGGAATAAAAGAAAACTTGAGAAAGGGGGAATTGTAAGAAAGCTATAATTGCAAAGAGAAAACTCATTACGGAGGAAAAGGAATTTCAAGTACAATTTCTAATATCTATCTATATATATGTATGTGTGTGTATATATACATATACTCATGATTGGGAAAATTCAAATCTACTCATCTAATTTCCGGCCGTCGACGACGATATATATGATTCTGCTTTATGGGGTTGCATAAGCTTTTGATTATAACATTCATAGTAATATAGTATGAAATATGAATGCAGAAACTTTTGTTTTCATGTGTCTTTTGTCATATAAGAGTTTCTATTGAAAACAGGCGAAAGGATTCTAGTTTTCATGGGTTCTAACTTCTAACATTCTGTCTAGAATTTACATGGGGCACAAAAAGGCGGTTTATGAATAGGGCCACACACACTCCCCTTTTTACTATTGTACTAAATCGAACTGAACAAAGCCCTTGAGAAAAGAAAAACCTATAATGATAAAAAAGCTAAAGTGAGTTTTCAGATAGATCTCATGTTCTTACTTTTCGGTGAAACATATGGAATCTCCGGAACAAAGTGGGGTTCTCTCACTTTTATATATACATGTATGTGTATATGTATATATAATCGTGAAGCCATAGAAAAAGAAATGTAGTAATGTGTTGGTAGAGCTTTTTTTGTGGCATTCGATTCTGAATTCGAGTTTTTTTGGACTTCTGAATTTAGAATCTATCGTTGTATTATCCATAGGTTATCTTGTAGGTGAAGGCGAGGTCGAAGATGAGTTCACTGTACTCGAGAAAAACGACGCTAGGCGAGACGAGGAAGGAGAGATGCAGGGGTAGGAAATGAGAGAGATGTGAAGAGGTCGAGACGAGGAAAGAGAAAGAGGGGTGATGGGCGAAAAGGCCTATACGAGGAGCAGAGACGAGGCGTCGGAAGGATTGAGAACAAAGATAGTTCGCGTAGTGAGTGAAATATTCGGAAAATTACGGGTTTTTGTGGTCACCGTAGCAGTTAGTAGTCATTGTGAGTATGAAAAAATGGCCATTCCCGGTAAAAATGCTATTACTAGGATTGTGTGTTTTTACAGGCGTGCGATGTTTTGTGCATTTGGGGCTGTGTGTCCGAAAATGGAAGGAGAACAAAGTAACAAGGTAAGGTTCATGCTGTAAAAAAAGCACAAAGCTTTTAGCTTACGTTGTGTGTCCTGTTATCGTAAAGCCATAAGCTGATTTTGCAAGAGGCTTAAGATCCAACTCAAAGAATTTTCGCCTCCTTCTAACACGTTGCTTAAAAAGGGTTAAACCCCGTAAATTCATAGTTAATTTCATTCACTGTTAATATATATGTTTACACATTCATGTTACATATATATATATATATATGTAGTAATCATATATAATTTAATAACACAGTTAACACTGGATTCATATAAATTTATTAATCTCTTCTATTTGATATCGTGTTATTAGTACACGGTACACCGGTCATATTTTTTTTTAGATTAGTTATTGTATGCAATAATTATATATGTATTATATCTTCTTGTATTTGTTAAACAAAATATGATCTTCTTGATCAATAAAACATATAATGACGTTCACGATGAAATACGGTAGTGAATTGCATTTTGGTTTCCCGAATAATCTTTTACTCCCTCCGTGTCTAAATAATTACTCTTTTTAAGAAACTATAAAAAAAAGTTTTCCATACCTTTATTTAATATAGATTTAATGATAAAAACTACATAATTGTTAAAAATTTATTGGAATTAAAGTAGTTTTAATGAAGGGTAAAATTGAAAATCATTTTATAAAATTATCTAGAAAAATTAGAAGGACATTTATTTAGAAACAAAATTAACTATCTAACAGGTCAATTATTGTGAAACGGAGCATGCATTTAGATTAAGATCATTCTATAACATTTTAATTATCGTTTCTTGTTAGTTGCCATCTTATTTGGATAAGATGTCCAATTAGGTAAACTGTTTTTACCAAATTATATATATTAAGTTTTTTTTCTCGGTATGCTTATTATATTTTATATGCAAACATCTATCTTTCTGCGGTTCCTCGTTTTCATCAATTCAGTTTTTAAACCTATATAATAATTCATCGAATTGTTCCATATTATTATTACACAAATATTTCTTAATTTGGGATTGTGACTCTGGAAATTGTTCAAACCAGAAAAAAGGAAAGAATTGTAAACCGTCCGCCGTCTCAACCAGAAAAACTGTCTGCCGTTTAAGCATTATAATCATGCAAATCATGTTGTTTCACTGGAGTGGGAAAATACAGGTTAAACAAAAGGAAAAACGAGAGGGTTTTCCTTCGACAGATTTAATCTTCGCCTGCTTCCTTCTTCTTCTTCTAATCATCGCCACAGAGAAAGCTACACAGCTACGTGGTTTTGTTCAGATCCGTGTGAGAGGGCGAGAGGTAGAGCTATCCGACGGAGAAGATGAGCGGCAAGGTCGGCGGCGGCGGCAGCGGCAGCTTCGGAGCGAGGAAGAGCCATAATGGAATTTCAGACATTCCGTCGGGGTCAAGGAAGATCGTACAGAGTTTGAAGGAAATCGTGAACTGCCCTGAGGCCGAGATCTATGCCATGCTCAAGGAGTGCAACATGGATCCTAACGAAGCCGTCAATCGTATCCTCTCCCAAGGTTCTCTTTTTTTTTTCTTTTCTTCAAATGCTTGTGTTCGAACTTTTGTGGGTCGTGTTGTTTTGGCTGCTGAGGAAGTGACTGGAAGACTTAATGGCGGAAAAAATTAGGGTTTGCTTGTATACCGGAGAGGTTTTGTGTTGCTGAACGCTGACATAGTCTGGTGACTGAGAGGTTTGAATTAGGGCTAGCTTTGGTTCAAATATGCTAAAGATTCTTTTTTGGGGGCCGCTATTTTTGCTTAGTTTGGAAGCATTTAATTCTTCACGTCGAGATTCGAAATTGTTTTCGACGTCACTGGCTTTTCTGTTTTTCTTGGAGCCGTAAAACTTGGTGTTGTTTGCGCCACGTCCCTCTTGGTATTCTTTGCTCTCTTTGGTTGGGTGAGACATTTGTTGATGTCACAGTAGCCTCTAAGTTAATCTTGTTTTCTGGGAGTATGCCCTCTTGCAATTATCGCACGTGTGCCATTAGAAATGCAAAGGGTGCAATATATAAGGGTTTGCTGAACCTTTTAGGTCAAAGGTAGACAAGCTCCATCGGGTTGATGTCTGAAACTCTGATGTTTGCACGTGATCTAGCTTTATATGTAGATATTGTTCTGTCCAGTATTCATGTCATCGTGTAATTTAAAACATCCTTTCTTCGTGGTTATGCTGCTGCATATGTTTCAGATGTCATTAACTACTGGCTCTTTGCATCGCTGTTGTGCTAATGAGTTGCCTATTTGTGTTCATGGTTCTCGAGTTTGGTGCTATTCTTTTCTTCCTTATTTCATGCCGGGGGCGTTTCTGATAACTTTCATGTTAAAATTTTGTTCTTTGATTGAAGGCGCTGCACTTTGTTATAGATAGCATTTGATTCATGATATTGACGCTGGTTCTTTCGTTATTCAGATCCTTTTCACGAGGTGAAGAGCAAAAAAGATAAAAAGAAAGAGGTAAGTCAATACTGTAAGTCACACTAATCTGTTTGACATATAGATCAAGTAATGTCTCTCTGTTCCTTTGGTTCCAGTGTATTGACCATTTTAATTAGAAATGCCTTAACCGTATCTGCATCATCTTTTTATAAGGTTTATGCTCATACTAAGTGGTCTATATCATCACCTAGCTTCTAATCTACTTTCTGTTATCCCCCGATTAATTTTCTGCTGCGTTGCTATTCTGTGTTAGCATACAAATTCTCAATTGCAACCATTTATGTTAAACATATTCTCTTGATTCTTCTGTTTTATCCCTGAAGACTTTTAGTGCCTTTAAATGCCATAGTTTTAAACTCTTCCCATATGACTTATATTTTTCCCTTGTTGTACCTTTTGGATTTGTAGATGGGACCAAATGATTTCTGCAGTTAGCTGGCCTTTAATGTTCGTTCATTTTCTACTGAAATCTTGGTGATTTCCCAATTTTCCATTTTGTTCAGAATAAGGATACAACAGATTCCAGGTCACGTGGTGTTAATAACAATTATAACCATGGGGTTAGAGGTGGTTCTGATCATTATGCTGGACGAGGTAGTGCTGCACCTTTCAGCTCTACTGGTATAAACCTGATGACTTTTGAGCTATTGGTAAAATAGAATCAGGAATTTATTAGTTTTCACTAAAAGATTCATGCTTACACATTTCTATGGTCCAGAATCTGGAAGCTTCCAACGAAAATCTACAAACAGGAGAGAAAATGGAAGACAGGGTTATGTGGGGTCAGCATCATCTGGAGTGGTGGGGCGCAATCAGCCTTCGCACAGGTTTTCCATTCAGTTTCTTATATGAAAACTTTTGAATGCAACTGTATTTTGGTGGCAAGTTTATGTGCTACATCAGACAAATGATCTGAAAAAGCAATGTACTGTATAATTGATCTCAGACTTCTTTTACCCTTTAGTCAATGATTGTGTCATACAGATCCATCTAGTAAGACCTTTGGATTTTTTAAAATCATAGACTATGATTCTCTCAAATGTTATCACCAAAAGATGGCCAGATCCTTCGGCTTAAGCTTTATCCTATGTCGATTGTTGAACCAAAAAAAAAAAAACAGTTTAGTTGGCTCCATCATGGTATGAGAACTTGGAGTTTTTATACGACTTAGTGGTTTGGAGGCTGATCATTAGATATAAATTGCTGCTTCATTGTGAAATTTAAATGTCTTTTCTGGTACCTGGTGTCTGAAAGTTCTATGCTTATAGTATGCCAATCCTCTGTACAAAATTAATGTTAGGTTTACTAGAATCAATGAGAATATTTGTATGCTGAAGTTTGTTTGCATGGAGTCTTGGCTTTTATTACAAGTTAGACTATGGTCCTAGTTATTGGAATTTTGCATCTGTTAAACCTTACATTGCCTTAATCGACATTGCTATTATGTGGCTTTTACTATTTCGTTTTCCTGCAGCAAGATGTTTTGTGTATTTTCCCATCTGAGTTGCAGCTGGCTCAAGTTCATTGCAATTTTTTTTTTGCAGTGATTTTGTTGCCATTGAAAATAAAATGCCATCTGTTTCCCTGGGCGATGGGAAACAGCCATCACAATCTGCTTCTGGACATCAACCTGCATGGTTTGGAGCTGCAGGTCAGATGTCTATGGCTGACATTGTGAAGATGGGTAGACCACTAAACAAGATAATGAACCCCTGGCAAAATGTTGAAATGCGACCCAAACTAGATAGTGAGCATGAAGTTGCTAATCAGCATGTTCTTTTCAAAGATGACTGGCCCTTGGATGAAAAGCCAGTAGCTGCTAGCACCTCGGCTGTATCAAAGGCACATGCAGAGTCAGAGATATGTTCTGATCCATCTGACTTCCAATCCGGTAGACGAGGCCAACAACACAAGGCCCAGTTTGAAGAGGTTCATCGAGCAGAAAATGGCTCACGTGGGAATCTTGGGATAGATCAACTGCAGCCTGGTTCAGTTTCTGGTAGAAACGTTCTGGATAATGACTCTGCAGTTTCTACCGAGTTTGATGATAATCAATACAAGCACGAAACACAGAATCATCCTGTTGAGCATGAAAAAGGTAAGATGAATGATTGTTTCCTGTGTGTAGTGGTGTATGAATTCTCTATTAGTGACTTTAGTCTGCGCTTGTTAGATGTGGTTGATGCCCATGTCTCCTAATGTGTGAAGCTGGCTGAGTCTTTGTGTTATCATAAATGTGATTCGGCAATGGCGTTTCCTTTTCTCTGTTTCTTCTTGGTGCTAGTATGGTGTTTCTTTATTGCACCTGTGAGAAGGAATTGGTTTCATAATGCTGATGGAGTAGTAGACTAAGCTTCTCGAGTCTCTAGTGTGTTTTGAAACTTAACGTTTTCAAATTTGTTTCATTCTCTTGATGGTATCCATCAGTTTGTCAGTATGATGTTTATTGTTCGAGATGGGCAAAAAGAACAAAAAAAACACATTGAAAGGTCGTTGGCATATGAAGATCCTTGTTGGACTTGATGGTGTCTTATTCTGTGTCTCGTTATTATTCTTCAGATGAAGATGACACTTCATCTGTTGCCGGGAACCTTCAAGAATTAAGCATAGAGAATCATGATCACGAGGAAGAGGACAAACCCGGTGTCATTATTCCAGATCATCTACAAGTGCATGCTCCAGATTGCTCGCAATTAAGCTTTGGAAGCTTTGGAGGTTTTGGATCAAAGCCTTTGAGCAACAATTTAGAAGAAGAGGCTCCAGATGTAGCCCCAGAAATCAAACATTCAGATGCTAGGCATGCCCTTATTACTAATTTCTTTTTCTGAATAATTTTCTGGATTAGTTTCTTTTCCATTTGCTGTTTTTTCTAATAATCTAATACATGCTTGTGCTCAGAAACACGGAATTCTATGGAGACGAACATCTTGCAAGTGCGAACAATGGAAATATTGTTCACGTGTCTAATCCAAGTACTGAAGACTATGATACTTCGGATTCTCAGCGAGAGATTTCGAGGCAAGAAAACCCCGAGACTGCTCAGTACACTTTTGCTCAATCTGAACCAGGATATGCTTATGAAAATGTTAAGCAGCAGACGAATACTACATTCGATGAATCACAGACAAGCACACAGATGCCGAATCTTACTTCTTTGTCCAATGTCATGGTAAGCTGCATACAGCACAGTACACTCATTTTGGTTTAAAAGTAATGCATGCACAGTTCATAATGCAACTAAACCCCATGAATGACTGTAGAAACCGCGCTTGTGCATCTCTAGCTTTTTAAGAACCCTGTTTTCTGTCAAGTATGCATTCATGCCGATTGCTGATTCGCTTTGTATTTTCATTGAAAAGGAGGTTTGTCACCTCTGGAGTGGTGTGTGTGATGATGATTCCCTATAAGATCCTGAATGACAGAAATTTGGTTTATGTGTTTTGCTTTCAGCAAGGGTATACAAACCCAATTCCCAACACTTTACTGGCACAACCTGAGCAGAGTGTTAGGGAACTCGAGCTTCAGTACTCACCTTTCTCTGTTGCACAGTCCATGCCTTTGAGAAATAGCAACAATCCTTCTTCACTAAATGCCCAAAGCATTTCCGTGTCAGAGGTGATCACTTTGTCTCTTGTAGAACATGATAGTAAAATATATCTTTTGATGCGTCTGATATGCTACCTCTGTTCTTTGAATCCGATGGCACAAATCTGTTTTTTTTCTGGTATAGCTCAGTTCTTTTCTTTTGATGGGCCAATTTTGCCTCTTTTGGCAATCGGTCTGAAGGAAGTAGGGTTAGGGTTTCTCTTGTAGATGATTGGCATATAAACCGCCATGGGATTCATTCTATATGCTGTATTCTAATTATATATGTTTTTTTACATGCTTGCAGGCACTGAGAGGCGGTAGTATTTCTACGGCGCAATCAGCTCAACAAGCCTTACCGGGTGCCAATATTGCTACTGGACCCGCCCTTCCTCAGCAGCTTCCGATGCATCCATATGCTCAACCCTCTTTACCTCTAACGCATTTCCCAAATATGATCGGTTATCCTTTGTTGCCCCAGAGTTACCCGTACATTCCGTCGGCTTTCATGCAAGCATTTGCTGGTAACAACAGCTCGTACCACCAGTCTCTGGCTGCTTTGCATCCGCAGTACAAAAACAGTGTTTCCACGAGCAGTTTGCCTCAGCCGGGAGCAGCATCTGCCTCGGCTTACGGGTTTGGGAATTCGAGTAACGTTGGAGCCGGAAACTACCCTCTGAACCAATCCGCAGGTCCCACTGGGACGAGTCTTGGTTATGAAGAGGCCTTGAGTTCACAATACAAGGAGAGCAATCATATGTTGTCCCTCCAGCAGCACCAGCAGGTAATTTCCTCGCTCAATTCTCTTTGGATTTCACGAAAGTGTCGTCCCCATCATCTTCACATTGAGTATATATATGTCATTTGTCTCGTCTTCCGAGCCTAACCCGGCGTTTTTTTTTCGTGTTGATGTAAGGAGAACTCGCCAATGTGGCTTCATAACGGTCATGGTTCCCGAACCATGTCAACTGTCCCGACCAACGGGTACTACAACCTGCAACCACAGCAACAGGGTCCCGAGTTTCGCCATTCTCAGCCACAGGCTTCTCAGCACTATGGATCACTCGGGTACCCAAATTTCTATCATCCCCAAACGGGGATCTCCATAGAGCACCACCCGCCCCAAAACCCGAGGGACGGTGGTCCGCCCTCGAAGCAGCAGATCTGGCAAAACCCTTACCACCATCAATGAAAAAAAAAGGTTAACTTCTTCGTTTTCTTCTCTCTTCTCCCTCATAGGGCTCGTGGGTTTTCAGGGCTGCGTGGCCACTACCATAGCTATTTACATATATAATGGATGGATGACCGGTCACCGGTTATAGAGGTTTGCCGGTTGTCGGAGTTTTGGGTGGGGGAAGAGGCTGAAGAGATCATCTGTTCCACCGGCTACGACGGGAGCCTTCTTCACCACGAATGTATCTATCAATCTTCTTTCTTCTGTAACTTAGTTAACAAACAAACCTCTCTCTCTCTCTCTCTCTCTCTCTCTCTCTCTCTCTCTCTCTCTCTCTCTCTCTGTATTTAACCCTTTTTGTTTGTAGTTCTTCTAGTTGCACGTTGTTCATACGTTTGCCACATTTTCTGTGAGAAATAAATTGGGTTGTCTCAAGAAATTCAATTTCACATAATTATCTCTATAATATAATATTTTTTGTTGGTCTGTAAGTAACCGTTTGAATTCACAATGAATGTGTATGTATATCATATAATATTTTTCATTGGCTTATCTCCAAAGATTTAACAAATGACACGAAATTAGATGTGACCAACACGACACACAATAAAATTTACAAATGATTATGTCTCTTCTCCAAGACAACCTTAACAATTTTCTTGGGCGACTTTAACTTTCTGCACTCAAATGATATTTTATTAAACTTTACAAGACAAATGTAATGATGAGCTGAGATTACTTCACTTCACGAGTTTACACAAATTTGGACCCACGCATTGATTTATGGCTAAACCTTACCATTAGACGTCATTACTCATTACTGTTTACAAAAATAAAATAATGTTTTTTTACTTATCCAAAAGTTATCATTGTGTACATTGGCTCTGAAATATATAAATAAAACTAGAAAGATGTGTGTGTGTATATGTGATGGTCAGACATTTAATTGTGGATTACAGATAAGTCAATCGACCTATATATGTATAATCAATGTCTTCTTAATTATCATGCATTATGACTAATCAATCATAACCCTTTATTATACATTATGCATTTAAACTCATGTTTAAACATCTGGAAAGTTTAGAGAATTTAGAGGTAGAAATATGTGTAAAAACGTTTTCTAGCTATATTATATATATATATATAAACTAAGAGGACTTAATTTAGAAATTTCACAAATGAGTTTAGGAAAGAGACAATTATGTTTTCCTTTAACAACCAATATGTTCATTGATGATTTGCTCATTTATGTTCAGGCTTCCCTAGCTTAATTTCTCTGCTACCCTCTTCATACGCATTCCCACTCCTCCAAATATATTTATTGTAACGGTCCATTTATTTCCATACATCAAAGTATCAAACCATACACCCTTCTATATATATATATATATATATAATACAATATAAAACTTTAGATAATATGTGCGCGCGCGCACTATCAAATGGCCAAGATTCGTGTCTCCGACAACCTCGGCCCGACCAATCTACCAATTAAAGTGTGTGTGTTAGAAGCTTACATACATTAATATTATCCTCTTCAACCATATATATATATATATAATATATTTATTTCTAAACTTTTTACTTGATAAATTTATTTACAAACTTATAAAATATATTATTATAATTGTGCAAAATATTTTGAGAAAGTCCAACCGACTTACCCCAAGGAATTAGAAAAATTAAAACCAAATTTATAATATACAAAAGAGAGAGAAATACGATACGACCAACCTGTCTTTTCTTTTATATTTTTTTTCTTTCCCGCGCTTTCAAGCTTTTCCCCTTTCTCTTTATATATTATTGATTTATTTATTAAAATTTAAATAGTTTATTGAAAATATCAGCTCTTCTAATTTCTCTCTGAACCTCAGCTTTCCGTCATTTGCTCAGTTTTTCCTTCAAAGAAAAGCTCCGTTTCTCCTCTCAGAACGGGAAAAGATCGGAATCCATTGCCATTGCTTTCTGAAAACAACTGGGTTTCGGCTTCCATGGAGACATTGAAACCAAAATCTTCGATTCGGAGCAAGAGCAAGATCGCGCGAACTTTCCAGAAGGTTTGCAGCCTGAGAAGCGCCTCCTCGACGAAGGTTTCGTCTAACAATGGAATCGGCATCTGTGTGCTCAAGTCACGGAACCATAATTTCGACGATGACGAGGATGATGGAGACTCCGTCTTCGACCTGCGGAGCACGGTGAGCAGCAGGAGTGCCGGAGAGACTCGAGATCGGCGGAGAGCGGTGCTCGAGGCGGTGGTGGCCAAGATCTTTGCGAGCGCAACAGCCATTAAAGCTGCTTATGCGGAGCTTCAGATGGCGCAGCGTCCGTACGACAACGCCGCGATTCAGGCGGCGGATCAAGCGGTGGTCGACGAGTTGAAGGCGTTGTCGGAATTGAAACGTAGTTTTCTGAAGAAAGAGCTGAATCTGTCGCCGCAGGTGACGATCATGCTCGCAGAGATCCAGGAGCAGCAGAGCTTAATGAGGACGTACGAGATCACGATCAAGAAGCTCGAATCGGATGTTGGGGAGAAGCAATCGAAGATCGATTCGATGAAGAAGAAGCTCAACGATGCCGTCGATTTCAACAAATCTCTGGAGAAGAAACTCACCGCGAGCGGATCGCTCTCTCTGTTCGACAACTTCCATTTCCACAATTTGAATTTCAGCCACTTTGTCCAGATTCTAAGCTATACATTGAGATCCATACGAGGCTTCGCGAAGACGATGGTGAAAGAGATGGAATCGTCCCAGTGGGACCTCGACGCCGCCGCCGCTGCTGCCTCCTCCGCCGCCGTGTTCGCAAAGCCAAGCCATCTACCAATTAAAGTGTGTGTGTTAGAAGCTTACATACATTAATATTATCCTCTTCAACCATATATATATATATATAATATATTTATTTCTAAACTTTTTACTTGATAAATTTATTTACAAACTTATAAAATATATTATTATAATTGTGCAAAATATTTTGAGAAAGTCCAACCGACTTACCCCAAGGAATTAGAAAAATTAAAACCAAATTTATAATATACAAAAGAGAGAGAAATACGATACGACCAACCTGTCTTTTCTTTTATATTTTTTTTCTTTCCCGCGCTTTCAAGCTTTTCCCCTTTCTCTTTATATATTATTGATTTATTTATTAAAATTTAAATAGTTTATTGAAAATATCAGCTCTTCTAATTTCTCTCTGAACCTCAGCTTTCCGTCATTTGCTCAGTTTTTCCTTCAAAGAAAAGCTCCGTTTCTCCTCTCAGAACGGGAAAAGATCGGAATCCATTGCCATTGCTTTCTGAAAACAACTGGGTTTCGGCTTCCATGGAGACATTGAAACCAAAATCTTCGATTCGGAGCAAGAGCAAGATCGCGCGAACTTTCCAGAAGGTTTGCAGCCTGAGAAGCGCCTCCTCGACGAAGGTTTCGTCTAACAATGGAATCGGCATCTGTGTGCTCAAGTCACGGAACCATAATTTCGACGATGACGAGGATGATGGAGACTCCGTCTTCGACCTGCGGAGCACGGTGAGCAGCAGGAGTGCCGGAGAGACTCGAGATCGGCGGAGAGCGGTGCTCGAGGCGGTGGTGGCCAAGATCTTTGCGAGCGCAACAGCCATTAAAGCTGCGATGGGAAACAGCCATCACAATCTGCTTCTGGACATAAAGCTGCTTATGCGGAGCTTCAGATGGCGCAGCGTCCGTACGACAACGCCGCGATTCAGGCGGCGGATCAAGCGGTGGTCGACGAGTTGAAGGCGTTGTCGGAATTGAAACGTAGTTTTCTGAAGAAAGAGCTGAATCTGTCGCCGCAGGTGACGATCATGCTCGCAGAGATCCAGGAGCAGCAGAGCTTAATGAGGACGTACGAGATCACGATCAAGAAGCTCGAATCGGATGTTGGGGAGAAGCAATCGAAGATCGATTCGATGAAGAAGAAGCTCAACGATGCCGTCGATTTCAACAAATCTCTGGAGAAGAAACTCACCGCGAGCGGATCGCTCTCTCTGTTCGACAACTTCCATTTCCACAATTTGAATTTCAGCCACTTTGTCCAGATTCTAAGCTATACATTGAGATCCATACGAGGCTTCGCGAAGACGATGGTGAAAGAGATGGAATCGTCCCAGTGGGACCTCGACGCCGCCGCCGCTGCTGCCTCCTCCGCCGCCGTGTTCGCAAAGCCAAGCCACCGTTGCTTCGCCTTCGAATCGTTTGTAGCGGGAAAAATGCTGGAGAACTTCGATTCCCACAACTTCTCGCCGCCAGATTCCGCCGAGAAACCGATTCGGGAACATTTCTTCAACAGATTCAAAAACCTAAGATCCATCGACCCGATCCAGTACCTGACCCGGAACCCGAGCTCGGCCTTCGCCAGGTTCACGCGCCACAAGTACGCGAGTGTGGTGCACGCGAAGATGGAGTGCTCCTTCTTCGGCAACCTGAACCAGAGGAAGCTCGTGAACTCGGGCGGTTTCCCGGACTCGGGCTTCTTCGCGGCGTTCGCGGAAATGGCGAAACGGATCTGGCTCCTGCACTGCATGGCGTTTTCGATCAGCGAAAACGTCACGGTGTTTCAGCTGAGAAGGGGATGCAGATTCTCCGAGGTGTACATGGAGAGTGTAACGTCAGCCGACGAATCTGTAACCTCCGGCGAGAATTCGGGTGTCCGGGTCGGGTTTACGGTGGTTCCGGGGTTCAAAATCGGCGAGACCCTGATTCAGAGTCAGGTTTACTTGTCTCCGGCAGGTTCTTGACATCGTTTTCCGGCGAATAATATCTCCGGCGGCGAGTGGGGCCCAATGAGAAAGTGGGGATTGGAAAAAGCTGAGGAGAGTGTGGGGTTTATGATGATGGTGACATAAAACGGTGAGGGAGACAATAATCATTTAGATTTTAGATTTACATTATTTATAATAAAAAAAATTTATAACACTGTTGTATATTTTTCTTCTTCGTCAGTTTAGTGAAATAGATTTGAATAGTAAAAACGAAGGAGAGAGAATGTGGAATAGTTTGAAAGTATACTGTCTTGTCGTATCGCATTAATGGCAGATTCAAGAAACCAAAAAGAACGACCTTGTATGCATTTATTTAAATTTTTATTGTTACAAGTTTCCACATGTAAATTTCAATATCAAGTCCGTGGCTAGTCCAAATTAAAAGTGAATAACCCATTTCATAAATGGATCTATATTACTATTAACAATTAGGGATAGGTTTGTTTTTTTTGTTTAGTTACTTTTGGATTTGGGTTTTTCAACTTTAGAAAAAAATTATATTCGTCCGAATTTTACGTTGGATTTAGTTTTTTATTGATAAGAATATTAGTTTTCTTAAAGAAATTTTCTTTTTGATTCTTTGTTTCCGGTTTTGGATTTGATCTGAGTTTAGATTTTTTTTGTGAAAGTAAATTGGAACCGAGAAATAAAAATCGATGTTTGAATAAATACAGAGAGAGAGAAGGTCTGAATTGAAACAGACATGATGTTTTGTGTCAGAGACATGAAGAGCGGATGATATCATATCATCAGCAAGACAAAACACGAGTGAAGAAGAAGCCCTTTAACTATTCTCCCTTTTTTGGCATGCGCCCACAGAGGCTGGCCTGATATCATTAAGACCTCTCTTACACGTGTTTTTTTAGACCGATTGGAACTATATATATATATATATAATCCCGTATTTTTTGGCATGGTATAAATTTTTTATTTTTTTTAATGGGTTTTAAGTTTTTATAGTTTTATGAAATCTGATTAATTTGTTTGTGGGCCTTAGAAGCTATTAATGATGTTAAGAAAAAGAAAATCATGCAAAAAATGTACATATCTTAATTTATAACATAGAAAATAAATAAATTTACAGAGAAAGTTCGATAAAAGTTTTTTTTTTTATAATCCGGAAGTTCACCGGATCTTTGACCCGACTACATCTTCCAAAGGACCGGAGAAGCCCAGGTGAATGCCTCTACCCACGCTTGGATTTGGACCGGGTCATCTGACCTTAATAAATAAACATAATTTCGATAGTTTGAATAAACATTTCGCCATTCAAACGGATTATAAAATGTTTTTTATGTAGAATTTGTTCATAGAAAAGAGCCTGAATATTGTAGCCTTTGTTCTGTGCCATATTACTGATTGTAAAAGCAAACAATGATAGTTAGGGATGGGCTTCAATCTGAAAAATGTTAAGGATTAGCTCTAATTACATGTAATTGGGCCAATTGAGGTTCATTAGCAAATATGAGCCTAAGTAAATTAGTACACCCAACTAATATTTGCTTACGTTGTTTTTTCATAAGTTTGTGTGTAATGTGAATAATTACGTGGCAACCAAGTAATTTTTTTATTATTTATAGCATAATTCTTCAATTATTAATTTTAACCTCTTTACGAATTTTTCCAATTGGAAACGATATTTTCCCGGCAGATTTTATATATGAATTTCTTATTTGGTTAGGTTCCCAATGCATTGATATATTTTTTTAAATAAACTAATTCCATCGATCTTTAATTAATTTATTTCATTGTTCACAAGAAAATAAACTTACTTGATTCTTCTATAATTGTATGCGTCTTAATAAACGCACTCTACTCAGCATTTCACTAAAAAAATCATTTTTCATATATATCTTTGATATATTTAGCTAAAATCCGATCATTAAATTAAGATAAATACAGAAAAATGATCTAAATTACATAAATCAAGATGAAAAAAATTCAGAAATCACCATTTTATTAATCTAACCATATTGCACTTCATCAAAGGACAAAATTAAATTAAAAAGAAAAAGAAATAAAATTCTCAAAGAGTAGAGAATAGCGAAAAAAAATCGATTTGTATTTTTTTAATCCTTTTCTATACGTCGGCCTTACGACTCCAATGAAACTACGCCACGTGTCAGTAGATCTCATGCTGGAAAATGGCCGAGCACTCCGGCAACTCTCCGAGTCCGGCGAAAAGCGACTCGTCTTCTCCGTCTTCAAACAATGCCACGTCAGCACTCCCCGACACGTTCGTCCTCTCCGACGACGAGAATACCGAGCTCTCGAAGATTGTGGACGACGTCGTTTCCATCTCGCCGAACCACGTGAACTCGTCCACCCACGACGGCGTCGTTTCGATCTCCCCGAGATCCATGAACTCGCTACGATGATCGTCCTCCGGTTCCGGTTCCGGTTTAGGACGGTGTTTATTAGGGCCGGTTATAGAAGTGGGACAAGAGTGATTGTGTTCGCACGTGTAAGTGACGAGGATCATGGTCGGATCATCTCGGCTTCTCTCCACCTGTTTCCTCGCCGGACATCCCTTGGAACTACTACACCGATAATACCCTCTGTCCCGGACAAAGAATAAACCACGATTTCTAATTTATATGAAAATCAGATTGGTTTGAAAGATTGCACAACATATTATATTCTTTGGAATTCTTTGAAAGAGGATGTTGACATATGATATATGCATATATATATATACACACACGCACATGCATATATTTATGTACCTTGGGTAGGGAGAGCCCTTGATGGGTTTTTGACCGTACTTTCTCCATGCCCATGAATCCAACGGGGGAGTTGTGTCGCCTTTTAGCCTATACCCTTCCACGTCCCTGATCGGTACGGTCATCACTCTCTTCTGTACGGATCTTCTAGAGACAAAATACACAGCAATCTTACAAAGTTTTTTTTTTTTTTTTTTTTTCCAAAAAATCTTACAAAGTTTCAACCATTGATTTCATAGATTCGAACAAGAACTGACCTCTTAGAGCAGAACACAAATGTTATGGAAAAAAATGAAATCCACCAAACTATTTCTGTTGGGTTGAACAATTAGGTTTGTCACTCAGAGATACAATCTTTATGAACTTAATTAGGGTTTGGAAGTTGAAACTTTAGTTGAGGTTAAAAAGGGTTAGTGAACGTGAAGGTCACCTTCGCTTAGGTGAAGAAGGAGACGAGACGACTTTCATGTCGTTAAAGGTGGAAGAATTAGGCGATTCGGGTCTGGTTTCTTGGCTGCTTTCGCTCAAGCTTGATCTCTCCATCTCCAAAACTCGTTTCATGGATATGTTTTTTTTAAGAAAAAAAAGAGAAACAAACGAACCAAGAATCAAAGTACAGATATGAGGATCGGATCTTTTCTTAGTATATAGTGTGATCTTGAATGCCTTAGGACGACATATTTGCAGATGAAGGAGAGAGAGAGAGAGAGAGAGAGAGAAAGAGGGCTGTGTTTGAAAGAGGAGCATATGTGAATTTAATATCTAATTTTTTTTAATATATACTAGAAAACGTATAATATCTTGGGATATTTAATTTTATATCATAATCATTTTGCAGAAAAATGACCCCCGTAGTTTTTTTTTATTTGTCAATAAGCCGACCGTTACATATGATCATCACACCCTTTGTTTAAATCATAAATTTTAATTATTATTATTACTATTCAAGTGATGGGGTTGGGTAATTATACAAAAAAAAAACCTATTTTGCTTTGTCCTATATATTCACCAATGTCTGAAACATTTATTATTAAAATGATTATATTATGATTAGGTCTGCAGAGCTGTAGTTTGGACCAGAATCTAGGAACATATGATGGCCTGGCAAACTTTCCATGCATGTTGAAATATTTCGAATTTTAAGGTATAGATCTAAAGTTAATTAGAAAAAAAATTATAATCTAAAGAGAAGTTCTCTTTTATATGCTATTTTCCGAAAAAAGTGCGTAATGTCTTAAGTACCAACTCAAATTAAAATTGGGGCCAATACACACACACACACACACATATATATATATATTAAAAATGAATAAAAAACAGAAATACAAATTTTTAAAATCTCTGGAGAAATAAAGCGCATAATCCATCAACCGACATCCAAATTAAATAGAGATATACAGGTATGAAGTATCAATAATTGGACATTAAAAATCAGTAAAAGCAGCAGCCTTATTTTATTTTTAAATTTTATTAAAAAAAAAGATGCGTAGTTATCCCGTCGCTTGCCGATGATCACAAGTATCATATATTATTTATTACTAATCAAGGAGATAATCTAATTTAACTTATTATTAATAATATTAATGATATTGTCATTATTATTATATTAATACTACGAAATTCGCTTGTACTTGTCTCAGCCATCATCTAGCTCCGCTTTGCTTCTGATTTCAATTAGAGACAAGACAAATGGAGCACACATATCCAATAGAGTAAAACCCCTAAAAAACCTCAAACTTGCAAAAATATATACAAATAAACTTTCGATTTGAAAAACTGTCATTCAATCTCTGAACTTGTAACTTGTCACTAAATAAAATCTTGAACTTGCAAATTATTGCTCTAATAAATCTTTGACCGGTTTGACCATAATTTCAGGTGATCGGAAATCCACGTATTGACGAATTGCTTATGTTATTTTTTAAATTAAAATTGATAACTTGTATAAGGTGACATCAACAATCCGTTAATACGTGGATTTCCAATTGCCTGAAATTGTGGTCAAACCGGTCAAAGGTTTATTAGAGTAATAATTTGCAAGTTCGAGGTTTTATACAGTGACAAGTTACAAGTTCGGGGATTGAATAATAGTTTTTCAAATTGAAAGTTTATTTATATATATTTTTGCAAATTTGAGATTTTTTAGGGGTTTTACCCTATCCAATATATGGAATATGTTCTCTATCTCTCTCTCTCTCGTTCCTATATGATCTTACATCTTATAGCAAAAGAAATATAATCTCATTCATTCGTGTACACACACACGTATAAAAACATATATAATATATGATATGTACATATATATATATGTGTATGTTTGTACAATCCTCTGATTATGCTTATATGTATCTAATTTTGTAAGAATTTCAGAAATAGTTTATCTTTCAACATCTCACGTTCACGTTGATTGACACCTAATTTGAATTATAATTATATGTACCTAATTATCAGGTCATTGGTGATCGTTTCGACATGATTGTGTGTTCAATACAGAAAAATATATAAATAAACGTTTAGGCAAACAAAATTTGAATAATCCAAAAAATTATAACAAGTTATTATTACAGGAACAGCTTTTGTTTATTTTATATCAAAACTATATTTTTTTTAAAAATTTATCGAGGACTATATTAATTAAGATAATAAAAAAATCAGAGACTGTTGATTGAATTTGAAATGATTTACGTGTTGACTTGGTAATTTATAGCAATTGGCCAATTTGTCACGTCAATAGTTTTATAAACTGATTAATTTATTAATTTTAATTGGCCTATATTTTAATTATCCGTGAAGCAATGTGGTTATTAATTAATATATAAAATATATATTTCCAACTAATATTTGCAATTAAAAAATTATACTAATAATTTTGGCGTCTCTGGCTTTGCCCTGAAGCCGTGGTATGGTTCTAGCACATCTCTCATGTCATGTTTGATTTATTTCATATTTTGTATTTTTTTTGGTTGATTTATTCCGTAATTTTTAATTTTTTTTTGTTAAACGATTTATTCCGTAATTGTAAGGGGAAACAACATTATTCCGGAGGGGATTTAATTTGGGTTTACCTTGAAAGAACAAATAAATAATTAATAACAAATTATAGACACTAAATTTTTAGGACATGGAATATTTGAATTTGTATTAATATTTCGGATATTAGAATTTAAAATTCAACAGCATATTTTTATATTTTGGATATTCGATTTTTAGATATAACAAAAAACAATTGGGAAAATAAGTTGGGTGTGGGTGATGGAAATGAATGAAAGAAATTAAAAAAAAAAATACGGCACAAAATTCTATAAAAAAAAGATAAATAAAAAGGAAAAATAAAATCAAAAGAAAAACATTACCTTTTTCAGTTTTCTAATTCTATATAACTGTGTCTTACTAATTAAATACAACCAATTCATGCAGTCCCTTTTGTAATTTTCTCTTAACACATTAATATCTTACAATCAAATAAAAAACAATTCGTCATTTTAATTTTATATTTTTTTTTACCAAAAAGTGTTTCTGATACATAATGATATTTGTTGCAGGTTACTGGTTAAATTACTTTAAATTCCTAAGGATTAATTTGTACATTTGTTAGTTTGAGACAAAAGTCAAAATATCGAAAGTATTGAGAGGCCAATCTTAGAAGGACAAAACCTAAAGCCCCCAATCCTAATTCAGTCGACGACTTATATATCTAGGGTTTATTCCTTTTCGTTCTTCCTCTTTCTTGAGTTACAAAATTCAACCCCACAATTTTTTTCTCTCCTCTCAGTTTCACTGGCGCTAAATGAATCTCTCCTCCCTCTTCCTCACCGCAAATTGTTGCCGCCGGTGTTTTCTCATTTCCCGGCGATGGAGCTCAAGAATCTGAAATCTCAAGAATCATAATCTGGTTACTTCCGGCTTCAATTTCATCGGAATCGTTTGGAAACATAAATTGGGTTCGTGAACTTGACTTATTCCGGCGATATTTTGTCCGATTCCGACCGTTTTACCATCAACCTGATTCTGATTTTGGGTCGCAGAAACTTGGAGAACTTCGACATGTAGTTGCCATCGGAGATTTCTGTCACCATCGGTTGGGCTCCCGGCTTCTGGTAAGTGAACACTCAAGGCCGTGTTCTTGAAAACCGAATTGGATTTTAGAACTGTTGGATCGGATTAGTTTGGTTTAGATGAATCAGTTGGAAAATATTGCTTTTGATCGATCGATGATTTCAAGAAGGGTTAATAGTTTATTGTTTGTTTGCTAAGAATCCATATTGAATGAAGAAAATTGGTTGATACACTACACCTATGGTTTAACGACATATCTTGGCAACTTCTGGTGTCTCTTTACATGATCTCACCTTCTGATTCCATATGCTAATGTTGTAATATGATGGTTATACTCTCCATATCTGTATATGCCTTAATGACTTGGTTTGTAGACTCGCAATTTGGATGACAATTAGCAGTTTTCTTCACCATATATCACACTTCTATGTATGATCAATTCCCAAATCCCAAGTCTCATGCTTTTCTTGTAGTCGACCTCCGAGGGCTGCATGGTTTTATACCCGTCATTGGATTTGTGAGTTAGCTGTGTTGTTCTCTGAATATAAGTATGGAAATGTTCCTTTTGAGCCTAGCTTTTGATGTGACTAAGCTAAGAGGGTGTCCAAAATAAGTTTTTTCCATTGTGCATATATATCTATTACTTGTGTTGTTTTTCTCCACCCATATTTCTGCATTGTGATCACAACACATGAATTTGATTTAGAGTTTTAGCAACTACAAAGACATTGTAAGTTTGTAGTTCCGTTTTCTACAGGTACCCTTTCATTAGTAGAATCTAGAGATTGTGATCATGGCTACAACCTGATCACGAGGTATGACACAGAACATAACCGAATTTAGATCCATCATGTTCTTTGGGTAGAAGGGGATGTTTATAACATTAGTCATGCATTGTTTGCTCTTATCGCTTTGTTTTCTTTTCTCTTGATCTTTTCTATTATACTGTCCATGGAATTTTTTCTGGTTGATGTACAAACAGTAGACGCATCAGTCACATAGACATTGCGGTATTTCTTCATTAGGCAAGAATACATATTTGGTTTCTCTTCTTTTGCTTTACATTTTATCATCTCACCCACTTGGCTTTGCAAGCGCTTTCATGAGAGTTTGGGTCATATCATCAACACTCAACACCTTTGCTTGTAGGTCTTGGGGCACAACAACAATTGCTTCCATGGAAAATGAGTTTTGGCATGAAACTCTTGCCTGAATCACACTCATTTCCATTTCCTCAAACGCCTCGAGAATGTGGACAAGCATATGCTGTCCCCTTGGGCACATCACCTTCACTAGGAATCTCTCCCCAATCTTCTCCACCTTAACCTCCTGCCAAATTCACAAAACCCATGTAAACATACTAAAACTTATTTGTGTATTGGTGTGTATATATGTGTCTAGAGCAAATAATCCTACATGGTTTACCAAAAGGACTGTTTGGTGGTAGTTATGGTGATTGTTTCATCTTCAATATCTGGCGTATGAAGATTGTGTGTATTAGTTTGTAAGAAAAATGTCTAGTGGGTGATTTGAGAGGACAAACCTCGGACTGATTTTTGGTATTAATCCGATTCAAGGCTTCTCTTTTGACCATCTTCAAATGTGTATACTCTTTCTGTGCAGCTTCGATCTTGAGTTTGAGCAAGGATATGTACACGAGAGCCTCTCTGATCACCGCTCTCTGTCCACCTTGACTCTGCGAAACAAATCCATTGCTGCAACTGTAAGTATATAAGCTGTACACGTATATATCGTTGAAGCTGAAAGCTGGAGAATCTTTGAAACAAGATTAAGATATATGTATATGTGTGTACATACAAGTTTGAAGTCTGTGAGATTTGTGGGAAAATGAAGCTTCCTCTGTTTTGCTCTGTTCTTCTGCTGCCGAGCCGCCATGTTTGCCGAGTTTCTTGAATGGCCTTTAACCTTTTCTTTTTTCTCTCGGTGCAAAGGGCGTGATTTTATGTGATAGTGGAATTCTCTATTTATAGGTGTTAGAAGGGCATATATGTGTATATATGCATAGATATGTATGTATGTATGTATATACGTCGGGATCTCTTTGTTCCCAAACCTATTATTCTATTTGTCGTGTAGTAACCAATCACTAGGGCACTTAGAATCCTAAGCTAAGGAATTATGGTGGGTTGGTGAGATATTCTTATAAATATCCGAGTAAAGGTTTCGCATGTGAGTGAGGAAATCATGTTGTTAATCATATGGCAAACATTGGCTTAGCTAATACTTTGAAAAATTTTGTATGTAATTAACTATAATTACACTACTAATCACTCTTTAATTAGAACGGAGTGATTAGTCATTGTAATAATAGTATCGTTTTATTCGAGAGCCCGTCCACGCATTCAAATAGAGAATAAATAAATAAATAAATAGTTTTCGAGTACGTAGATGATGACAATGTTACAGTGTTTTGAGTGTCATTGGTAAAATTAAAAAAAAAAGATGAGGGGAATAATACAAGGGCAAAATTCCACACGTCAGAGAAATCTATGGATTTATGTACATGTGTGTGTCTCTATATATATATATACGTACGAGACATTGGGACACATATATATATATAAATTGTAGCCATTCGAACTGTGTATATGACCAGACAGAACAGTCATATCACGGGTTGTCTCTTTATTCTTGTATCCCTGCGAACACTACGTAGGAAGACAGCCTATAATGTGTGTGTGTGTATATATATATGTATGTATGTATGCATGTAATGGATGCATGCATGAAATGTGGTGGTGGTACGTTCACATGCATGGATAGTACAATTTCGTCTTGTTTTATTCATCATCGTTTATTTCTTCATGTGGAATCGTCGTCATCCATCGTATCATTATGTGTGTTTGCTCTATTATTAAAGACAGCGTACCATTTATACTTTTACACATTAGCCCATTTAATAATGCTATATATACGACGGTTGTAAGGCGTAGCTTTGTTTAAATAAGAATATGTATGATCATATTATTTAATATTAATCTACAACCATTTTAGAGATTTTGAAATTCAATGGTTAATGTAACCGCGTCGTCTAGCTATTTATTTAATTTTTAAATCAAATGATTCTAACGAACGATATGTAACCATTCTTTTGAAAATTTTAAAGTGGGAAGTGTTCTGTATAAATTTTTTTTTTTTTAAAAAAAGAATATTCCGTTTATTAGATAAAATCTAATCTCATATGACCGCGTACGAATGATTATTTGTTTGATGGGTATTTTTGGAGCGTATATATATATAAAATCATAGTCCCGAAATTGGCTGTACAAAAAAAAAAAGAAAGAGGAAGCGACCAAAGGATTTGTCACATAAGAAATGGCAAAGAAATCCAAAAACATGGAGTGTGGTAAGGGGCACCTTTTTTTTTTGTCTGAAACGCTGACATTGGGCACTCGATCTGTCACCACTTATTCATTTTTTACTTTCTTTTTTAATGAAATTAAAAAAAAAAAAACACATAAACCCACAGACAAGAAACCAAAAACACTTTTGCCTTAGCCCATTCATATGCCCTGAACTTATTGCAGATACTCTGAAACGTCGACCACGGGATAAAAAAAAATATAAAAAATTGTTTAAAATTATATCATCAAATCTATTTTTAAAAAATTTAATATTAAATATAATTATTCAGTGGAGCTAATTAATCCTGCGTATATCTATGCGTGTGTTACATGTACGTGTCTATTATATGAAAACCGAATTAATTTTCGAAATTAAAGTGGGTTGATATATATGACCATGGATAATGTTAACAGATTCTCGGATTTCGTAGTTATATTGCAGGTATGAATAGTACTAAGGGCTGTACATGTTTCAATCCATTTTAGAATTTTAAAAATGTATAATTGTATTTGGAACTTTATTATTATTAATATTATTATATTGAAAATTTAAATTTGTGTAATCAATTTGATATAAATTAAGAAATTTACAGAGGCCAATTTGTTTTTATATTGCATGTCTAACAATAAAAGAGAGAAAACCTGCCTCCTGGTTTTTTTCTGATATTTTCAGTGATAAGTAGGAATTTACCTAAAACACACACACCTTTTGTTGTGCTTTTGTCTTGTTCTATTTGACATTTCCTTCTCACATGGACCAAAAAAAACATAATTCTTAGAGGATCAATAAATTAATGTTATATATATATATATATTTGTTTTGGCTGTTGTAATTAATTTTAAACTTAATTAATTCTTGTTCATGGAATGTGATCTCTCACATGTCAACCCACAACTTCTTTAGAAAGCGTTGATTTCTTCTTGTGATAAGGATTTAACATTTGTCCTTCTTACAAGTTACAAATTGTAGATATTATATGTCTAGTCATCAAAATTAATTCGGCCACGTGTTTATGTGTATAGCTTCTTATGCCAAAGTTGTTCATATATTATTAAGTTTGGTACAAGATTATTAATCTCTGTGGCGACTTGAACGCATAAAAGTTTTAGGGAAAATCGAAAAATTAAAGAATATGTAGAAAGTTTCACACAATATTAAAATTTATGAAAAAAAAATTATATTATATATTTAAATTTACTGAACTAATAATATTAACAATGAGAATATATTGCAATTTGGAAAAGATAATATGGATATATTACACATATATATATACTTAGGACTTATGAGTAAATTAAGCCATTAATTGCCAAAATTGTCACTAATTTGACCCACTAACAATGGAGTGACCACCTCTAAACCTCGGAAATTAACTAAACTAATTGCTACGGGTGCAGATTGTATTAAATCATTTAAATATTTTTTGGCGGAATTAAAATCATTTAAATATTAATTAGAAAATAAAACTAATTTTTTGTAATGGCAGCTTCACGTGATGAACATGTCCCCTTTAAATTACCACGATTTTGCCAAAAACAAAAAAAAAGTAAAGACGAGTTTTTTTTGTCCTGTGAAAGTTTTTAAGATGATTAATTTTAAAACTTAAAAAAAAAACATAAAATTTACCCCGGAGGCAGTATCGTGTTTCACTTGCCCGAGATCAATTGCATAGCAGAGCTCTCCACTCCCATGCAGATCGACCGATGACCACGGTAAAAAAGTTTTTTTTTTCTTGTCTACGTGGCATAATAATATTGGATAATTCTATTAATAGGGTGCAGAAGAATCACCGGGCAAATCTCCTTTGGCAGTGAGCTCACTAACTACACACAATTTAAACTGCAAAACCATTGTAATGAACTTCCTGCCAATGGAGATCTTGCCCTGCAATGCATTCGCGCCTCTCTCTCTCTCTCCATCGATCAATGTCCATGTATATATGTCGTGAAATCATTCTTGTGTATATATAATCACGCAAACAAGGATATTCATTGGCACGATGCTCCGGATGCTATAGAAGAACGCAGTTTTATTCCAAGAATGAGATCTCTTCATAAGTCTATAAAGGAATATATTTTTCGTGCCATAGGTTTTAATTATGGTCAGACAGTCCCTAGCAACAAGCATATAGGATTTTCAAAACATGTTACAAAAATACTTTCTTTGCTTCTATGATATTCCGATTTTAAACCACATATTATTATTATTATTATTACCATGTCTTGTAAGAGTCGGTCGCATTCTAGTTCATATATAATTTTACTTGTATAATGTGTAACTTACTATCTTGAGAAAAGATTGGAACTTTGGCATGATCATTCTCTTGATAACTCATATCAGGAAACTTTTTTTTTTAAATTTGTTTTAAGAATTAATTTTCCTTTAAAAAATGATTTTACTAGCAAAAAATGAGCTTCGAACAACTTGGGTTAAAAAAAGGCATACAAATATTGATATTCTTTTGGAAAACGGGAGATCCGGGGGAATGTTCTTGCAACATTTTAGCTTCTACTTGAAGACACTTATAAATATGCAGAAGCTCGATCGAGTACTGCAATTTTTTACTGCATACTTTATTATTTTCAAGATTATAAAAGTTTCATCGAAGTAATTTTTAATAAACAATATCTAATCAAAATGTCATATATACGAATGAGTGGAAAGTGTATAAAAATATCTCCATGGCGGCATCCATCTCTTTGGTTTCTGCATTCATTTGGCTTTCATGTTCTTAATGTTTTTATAATATCATATAACTAATTTAATAAATTTAATATTTATTTGATTTTCCTTAGATATTTGATCTATTTGTGTCGGCAAGTGAGTGATAAAATCACCACCATTTTGTCGGTCATTTGATATTTTGATTATCCTTTTTTCCTATTATCGGAAAATATCACATTTTTTACCAGTATTTTTTTTTATAACGTTATTACATTATTTATTTTCCTTCAAAATTAAATACATTAACGAACGCCATATACATCCCACCAAGTGTATATTTCATCTGTTTAATTTAACAATACTAATATTATCATGTAAGCGTTTCTTTTATTTATTTATTCTCTTTTATGATACCGAAAATCCAATAAAATATTATAAGATATGTAAATTTCAGCTAGTGACGACCAAAATCACGGTTACTTTCTAACAATGGAATCGGCAACTTTTAACACTCGTTCTTTTGGAACATGGACTCACCTTTGCCACAAGAATATTATAATTAAAAAGCATAAAATCAAATCTTACTAGTGAACGAACGAACGAACGCATACAAACATATATATATATATATATATATATATACATGTATGTATATATATGTAATGTATTGTATAAACGGGACTTTGTATATCCAATTCTTGTATCACCTTTTAAAATTTGAGATTTCCTTTGAAAAGAATAGAGAAAGGCATTTCTTTTTTTTCTTTTTTCTTTTTTTGCTTTAGGGCATTTATGTACGTACAGCATATCCCCAAGTATATCCATCTCTAATATTGTTTTGGTCTCTCACAGTTTTAAGCAATACAATATGTTATATTGTATTTGTTGAACAATCACTACATGCCGACAGATTAGTGAACCATGCATAAATTAAAAGCTAAAACATTGAACGAATTTGGACTTGGGTTTCTTAAAATTGATTTGTTTTTATTGGATTATACAAAAATTTCTTCGTGTTGTTTCGATTTGTTATTAGATGGTAGTTTACTTTAAAGTTAATCTATATTAAATTTATTTCTAATCGAATCTGTTTGATTAGGTTATTTGATTTGGTTGGGATTGCCGGTTTATCCAACCAAATTGTCATCCCCTAAATCTA